ATAGGAAAGAAGGAAAAAACCACACCAGAGCACCAGTCAAACACCCATAAAGATCAATGATATGAGCATAAAATTTACTTAACTGTACATCTGTGATAAAAACACAGAGTTCTTTAACTAAATACAAGTACAAGTCAGATTTATTTTCCAAACATCTTGGCATGCACAAAGATGAGAATACAAAAAAAGACAAAAAGAAAACCAATAAGTGTATGCAATCCTTCAGTAAGAGGTACACAATAAGGACAGTCTTGCATTCAACGTATAATCATAGGCTACAAATCTAAGATCCATTCAAAAAAATAAAGAAAAGATTAACCATAACTGGAGGAGAACATTTTTCATAAAAACAACACTAGACAGATATTGAAATGTCCTTCTTTGCCTAAGCACCAAATGTTTAAAAAAAAGCAAGGTTCAGTAACCAGCAAAACATGCCCTATCAGGACCTGCATAAGTAGCGGCAGACACTCACAAGGAATCCAAAACAATTATGAGTCTTCAGAATATTACAAACATGTTTTTAAAAAAGCTCAAATTCCTAACACCGATGCATAGAAATAGAATACATAATACATATAATTATGAAGCCTGTATCCATACCGCTTTTCTTATCCCCCCCCCATCCTCCTTTTTTTTTCCACAGGAAAATATCACCCTTGTGATGTCAGAACTGCAAAATACAAGCAGACTAAGACCAAGCTAGGGTCCCTTGAAAAGACAAACAAAGACGTTTCGGAAATGAAAATGAAGTAAGAGATGACACATGTAAAAACCTTCTTCCACTCAGATCCAAATTATCATTCTCACAAAGACACCTTGATGAAGCAAAGGGACTACATTAGCCAAATGCAATGATTTAATGCTTGTTTTTTCTCAAGTCCAAGCACACTATTTCAGCATTTGATGCTGCTGAAACATCAGGCACACATTCTCCCTTCTCAATAATTATTTAGAATCTTTTTTCGTACGGCACTCATTAACATTTCTAAATGACTTTACTAAAATATAAGAGGCAAGAAAAATTCTGCCCCCCC